AAAATAAAATGGTTTTCTAACGTGTTTGGTGAATTCATATGTAAATATATGAAGCGAGAGGCACACAGAAACAGGTACGCCCTCTTTATATATACATATATACACACACGAAACTAACCATTGAATAATTTATGTATGTTTATGTTTCTTCTGGCAAGTTACATCTTGTCTGTGAATGTGAAAGAGTTATAGATGAAATAATTGTATATAGAGAGAAATTTTGCACACATTTTTGAAGATTTTACTTCTTTATATAAATATTTTAATTTTGGACATTATCCAGAAACACAGTACTCCTATTAACCATCGTCGCGAACTTTTATATCTTATTTTACTTCTTTCCTTAAAATTGATACAAATAGACCTACGTCCTTCTCGCACTCAGCCCGGTGCGTGCCACAAGTCTTTTCATTAAAGAGAGCACAGTGAGGGGGTGGGATTGGAGAGAGAATCTTCCGGGGATCCTACTAGAAAAAGACCAGAGAAAAATCCCATTTCCCTCCCCCCCCACACACTGATGCATTTATCGCGAAAGAGCAAACAGATAAATTTTAGATTTCATGTAGACCTATCAGGCAAACCTATTCATCGGCGAAGGGCTCAGTGCAGGTTGAGATAACCTGGTTTAGGAATAAAAATAAGAGAATTCACTGGTTGATCAGCGTCTTAAAGCAGTAACTAGCTAAGTGCCTTCATATCGTATAGCTCTCTTTGAGAAGCTAATAGTAGCTCAGCTCCCAAGAAAGTCTCTACATTCTACAGAACCTGAAAGTTCGTTTTCATGTACACATGAACCCGCCATTAGCCCCTGCTCTGGGTCCAATAGCCAGTTCACACCCTCCCGCCCTGCTTCTTTCAGATATATTAACTACCTCCTACCTAGGCTTAGTTCCGAAGAGCAGTAACCAAATGTAGGCCTAAAAATGGAAGTAATACCGCAAAATAGGCCTTATATATACTTGAATCTCGAAAGTACGCTTTCAGTTTCACTCCAGAAAATATTCGTATTTGAAATTCAGAAAACTCCATCCTCCGGTGTGAACAAATGTGTTATATTAAAAGCGCAAATATCGCGCGCAATAGTCGAACTCAGGACACGTCTTATATATCCACTCTTTACATATCTCCAGGAACTGAATCTTTTTATTTCTTATTTGTTAGGTCCTGTTAATACGGCTTTTAAATCGGTTAGATTTAATAAATTCTTAGCACAAGAGAGCAAAGAAAAAAAAGTTGTTCCTGTGATTGCAAATTCAACGCTGAACCATAAAGTCGTGTAGGGGAGTGGATGTCTAAATCCACGTATTCTTGATCTCGGCACTAGTTGGAGGTGAGTTATCAGTTTCACGCCCCGGCCGCCGTACCCCCGGTACCCATTAGAGGGGAGGCTATATAAGCACCAAGAAACAGTCTGGACTGTGCGGAAAGGAGAAAATGTTGCCCCTACCAGGAATCGAGCTACCCACCGCTGAGCCAATCGCTATACCGACTGCGCTATCTCGGCTACCATCAGTACTTTAATGACACTGTCATCTTCATAAAGAAGTGTCAGGTAGTTGAGTTATCAGATAACCTAGTCCAGGTCAATCCAAAGTTCATGTTCCTTTCGTTGTTCTGGTACATGTGTATTCCATCATTAACGTCGGGATTCCCCACGCAGATTTCTGTCTTGTCGATGTGTTATCTAGTGACAGGGTGGGAATCTTCAGGAATGCAGATACACGGTTATACCTACATACGGAGTATTTTCTGCAGAACGTGTGGCTATACTGGCGCGCCATAGCCTTTTTGTTTTCTGTTTGATTCCATCGTTCATACGTAATCTATCAAATTAAGAACATACTGAAACGAACCCAGTACTGCTCCAGTCCAGCTCGTGGTAGCCGGTTCCGATGCGCTCTTAGGCAGGGCAGTGTCGTCACTATGGAGACGAACTAATTTGGTGACTTTGTTTGCTCCCTTAGTATTTGCACGGTGGAAACACTGATACTTTGTATGCTGTGCTCTGAGATACGCTGCAAACGGAACAAGAACTTGTGAACACTGAATACTCAATGTACTTTCTCTTTTAAACTAATGAACTTGTAAAGAAGCTAAATAGTACTACGAGTTAATGATATACATATTGTAATATAATGTCTGAAGGCCGAAATAGTACCGCCAGATGAGAAGTCCATTGTTACGCAACGGCTCGGTAAACAAATTTCAGCAGCAACGGATACGCAAACAGCAATAGAGAAATTGTTGGGGACGATGTTTTGTGTTCGGTGCGTGTAAAGTGGTTATAAAGGAAAGTTCAGTTGAGAATGAGTCAGATCCGTCTGGAGGCATGTTCTAATACCTCCACCTTGACCCAACGGGTCGTAGGAGGCGACGAAAAGCGAAGTCTCGAATTTGAGAAAGTAAAATTTGATCGCTAGTCCCACGGGACTCGGACTCGAGAATGACTGCGCTGGCCAAGACCAGCAGCAATTGTAAACGACAGAGCCGTCCTGTCGTCAGAGATAGCGCCCTACATAAAAAAACATGCAGCTGTCTGACTTACTCAGAATGAGTCAGTTGAGTTCCGGAGATCCAAGTGAGCAATTGTTCGAGAGTTGGGCAGATGGAGTTGAGATTTCGGTTTCATGATATTAGCCGGACAATAACGACGTGAGTACAGAAGCTGGAGAATCTTCATTGTTAAGATTCGATACCAGTAAACGTCTAGTGCAGCCATTGCAAGAAGAATAGTCATTTTTCAGAGCTGTTGCCAAGCAACGTCTAGTGAAACCGGCCTGAGGAGACTTAGCTGTAGTGATTTGTAGTGTGGAAATGAGCAAAAGTATTATAGTTGTTTGCAGTCACGATCTGTAAGTGATCAACAAATTTATTCACCAATCCAAACCCCGTCTACATTCACACATATACACATGACAATATATTATATAACATTATCTTGACGTAACGACTGTGTGACTATGCACTGAAGATAAAATTGATGAACTGAACTTGTTCCGGTTCAATTACTGCGGTAAAATTTCGGTTCCAGGGACTGCAGACGTACATAGGGCCCTAACCTTATACGTAGGTGAGATTTGGGGTTTTTACGATGGGGAAAACTTAAGATTCTGGTCTTCATCATATAATTTCGCATGTGGCTACGAACGCTTCGAATGAACAGGAAATTTTTCATGAGGATGGAAGAACCAGTTCCTTCGAAACGAACGTGCGTGCTGTCATAGCCCAGAAGATTGCAGTATAATTAACTTGTACGCAATGAATAAAACTGTCAAACTACGAATCGAAATATATTGACACCTGAAAGCCGGAATAGCTGAGCCAGAGTAGACGTTCATTACTACACAACGACTCGGTAAACAGGTTCCCTCGGTAATGAACACGCACTCAACAATAGAAGATCTACCGTTTCTATGCAACGGCGAGGTAAGCAGACCTCTATAACAAAACATGAATTGTTAAGGAACGGTATTACTTTTGGGACCGCCCGGAAACTATATAACGAGGATCTCAGACAGCTGAAACAGAAATCTCGTGTGGAGGCGAGGTCGAATACCTCCACCGTAGCCCTGCGAGTCGTATGAGGCGGCGAAAAGGGAGCCCAGCGCCTGGAGGTATCATTGGGCCACCCTGTTCCCGGGGGTTATAAATACAGGTTGGTGAAGTCTCGAATTTGTGACAGTAAAATGTGATCATGAGTACCGCGGGAGTCGAACCTGAGAATGACCGCGCTGGCGAAGACCAGCAGCAATTATAAACGAGAGACCCATCTTATCATCAATAAGGATGTTACATAAGGACTATGAAACCAAGAATTCAATTTAAAAAGATAAATACTGATCGTGGGTCTCAAGGGGTTTGTTGCCATGGCCAACTGATTGGCGATAAACCGCAAGTCGTAAAGTGACTCCCTACTCTAACTTAGTCACCCTAACCTAACCTAATATAACCAAAACTAACCACGCCTAACCTAAACTAAGCTAAGATAACGTTACATATCCTAGCTCACCTGTAACAAATATGATCATGTTGTACCTGAATGCGCTGTAGTCTGATGTTTCAACCTAATCTAATCTAACCTAACCTAACCTAACTCCACCTTACCTTATCTATCTTAACCTAACCTAACCTAAACTAACACAATTTAAATATTTTTTTATATTTAGAATGTTCGAAGTATTTGTAATTTTCTTGAAACTTCCTAGAATTTGGAAGCTCACGGAAGTTGCAGAAGATTTCAAATTTTAAAAATTTCAAACTCTTGAGAATTTCCGAAAATTCAGATCCAGAATCATTAAAAGTAAAGATGATTTAAATCATAACTAACTAAATCTACCGAGCTGAAACTGCCTTGAGAAGCCAGCAGCTGCTCACCCAGTCAAGAAATTTCCAGCACGATACAGAAACGGATGGTTCATTACGTTTTTCACGAAAGTTTGCCACTGGTCCCCATCCGGAACCAGACCAATCCAGGCCATACTCTCGCACCCCAACAAATCTCATATTTCTCCAAGATTCTTCTTGCTAATATCACCACGGTGTGGTGAGTCTTCAGGTTGCGGATTCAGGAGATATGGAAGGTAGCTGCAAGTACGTTGGGCAGTCGCGAGATCCAATAGCAGTTTTGGTATTGTCGGTGTTGGTTCTTGGTCCTGCTATCAGAGTTCATTAGCTGGATTTGGGAATACACATTCTGAAGACGGGACATGGATAGAACTGGCGCAAAGTTCTGTCCAAAGACGGGTATCGAAATTGTTGAAACTTCAGATTCTTCTGCCAGAAATTTCGTTGATTATTTCGTTGGGAGATAGGTTGTGATGGTGGACCGCGAATCGAACTTGCTCAAGATCGTGTCCAAAGCGATTTTTTGCTATTAGCGGTACACGCTTTTCAGATGCAAGTTCCAGCAAGTTGGTATTTAGGAGCAGCCCACACGAGAAAAATACTGCATCCCGAAAAGCGTTTTATCTCGTCATATCACCTGAAGTGTAATGTTTCAGTTACAGACGCGATGGCATCATCAGCGGCCACATCCTCCTATTCCAACACAGAGAGGTCTTGCCTTTGTGGCTCTGTGAATGCACCTTCCGCGTCGCCCCCGCAACACGCCTCCAATACTGCCAAGTGTAAAATCTGCCGCACGAAACCAAAATTCTGCTTTCTCCGTGGGCAAAGATCATTTGACTTAGGGCAGCAAGGACCAAGTTCAGCTGGTGAGTTCGTTGCCAATGTACGTCATCAATATTTTTCTTTATTCAAACTTGTTTTTTCTTCCATCATTCTCTGCTCCTTCATTCCTTGTTCCTCTTTTTACTTTTCTCATTCTTCATGTCTCCCTCCCTTCTGCTAGAATACCTTCGTTTTCGATTTATGTTTTGTCCTATGATGAAGTCCGGTGTTTCCCCTCCACATTAAAATCTTTGCCATATAAAGAGTGCGGCTAACTGGTATTACAGGTCTGAACGGTCACGTGGTGTCAGCGCCGCCCAACCGAAGCAAAGAAGCTGAAGCGATAAGGGATACCAGCAGAGCCCCCCTTCAGGGACGCCGCGCCAGGAGCGCCGAACGCTACGAGGGGTTGCGTGTCAATGGGAGTAAGTCTGTTAATAATATTAATGCAAGCAGAGTTCAAGAGGCAGGAAATTTATTACTTTAGAATAATAAGTGTTTCACTAGAAATGTCGGCTGAGGTAAGCACTATCACATGTTCTGTGACTTGTAAGGAAGTATAGAAGGAGAAGAAAGCAAGGAGACATAGCACTTGTAGTGGTGCCAAATTTAGCACCGTGGAACTCTGGTTTTCAGTGAATGCGGATTGTTTTGCTGGACATATTTGCATGCAAAGAATCAATGATAAATCAACAAGAAGCACTCCGCATATGATGATCAGATATGCATCCTGTTGTGGCATGTAGACCCGTACTGTTACGCCTTGAAAGCAGCAGCTACGGACGGCAGCTCATAAGAGCAAAGGAATAAAATTACGTATAGTCATTTGTTCCTCGGTCTGAGTGTAATTCTTTGGGCAAGGTGATCGTCCGAAAATTCTCCATCAGCACATATGTCTAAATTATCTGCAGATGAGTTCTTCGCTTACAGATTGCGTGCTTCCGGGACCATGGCAATATCACGTAGACGTCCTCTCCTGAAATCTTCGCTTAGATATTTTATATGTGTTTAATACACCATTTCCAAACAACATTCGTAACTATAACGATTCTGACAATGGTGTATAACACAAAAATTAGTGGTGATTTGGACTTGGTCCAGTGGTTGACAGGGGTTGTCCAGTGATTGAGGTTAGCTCTTTGTGAGGGACCCAACTGAGTAGGTGTCTTCCCACATAACGTGAGACGGAAACAGTTCCAGTTTCCGAAACGTCGTGTTTTCTAGCCTCTAGAATACCGGACGATGGACAAAGTCCAAAAACCTAGTACTTCTGAATTTTATAGCATTTACATTATAATTTCAACGTATGAAAACCCGAACGTCATGATTTTTTTCAGCCACTGCATATTTTGCTTGAAACCACATCAATTGTATGTGATTATACTGAAGTGGTATGGCACAAGTCTCGTAGTGACATGACAAGTTCGCATTGCAAATTTTCATGTTTGTCGACAACACCAAGCTCAGTCGCTGAACTCGACAGATGTTGGCATGTTCTGTCCTTACAGACACGCCACTATAACGGTCTTCTAGGTGTTCGAAGCTGGGGACTTGCCCGTAATCAGGGAATGGTGACCAGCCTTACCCATCACCTTCACAGCTCTGAATGAGAAACTAATTTCCATTCTTCTAGAAGACAATTTCAGTTGATGCGACGTGAGAAACAGTTACTGTTCCACTCTTCCGTCAGTGTTAGTCTTCGGCAATAGTCACATCTTGCTATCATTCGCTTGGACAGTGATCCTAGTTAACCCATCTTTCCTCCAAATGAAAAATAATTGACGTCAATCATGTAACCACTTTATTCCTTGTTTACAATATGTTTCGACCCCAACCGGCAATCATCAAGTACTTCAATTCGCCAAAACTGTTACCTACACTGATGGCCGGTTGGGACCGAAACGTATCGTAAAAAGCGAAAATTCTAAGGAATAAAGTTGACGGCACTGTAATACAAATATTCTGTGTGAATGTAATAGAAATGTAATAGGATTCTTAAACACAATATTGAAAAATAATGGGCTTCGTTAGCTTGTTTTTGGATGGCTTATATTTTATATCTTCCACAGGAAAATGACTCACCATTTCCTTAATCAGGATTTATCTCCCATGCTCCAAAATCTTAAGTTACAATCCTACTTATTTTAATGCCCTGTGCAGTGAATTAGTTGATCCATAAAATTCCAATTCCATCTTAAAAGTTCTTTTAGTATTGGATAATTTTCTCTTTTTATATACAAATCGAACAGCTTTCTTCCAATTAAAGTTTATCAAAAGAATCTCCATTTCCTTTCTTAAGTCCCGATATAAATTTTCTTTGCGACACAAACGATATAGGTCTGCATTTTTTTACGGCATAGCAAATTTCTTGCAATATCCTTTCCAACGCCACATGCTGCAACAACTCTGTCCTCCGTTTCTGAAAGGGTCCTTTGTTGTCAGCCTCTCAAAATATTCATGTCTTCTGTATACAAATTCGTTATGCCAGTCCACGAAGACAAGCTTACAACATTACGCAAAGGACAGATGCGGACTTGCTAGGACGTCACTTAGCAGCGGATGCTTGTACCTCACGACTTCTGAACAGACTGAGCCCCTTCGGCATTTCATATGACTTCCGCTGACAGGACATTCACTAGAAGCAACGCTCGGTTCAACCGCTTGTTGTGTATAAAAACGCTACATTAATTTGTAATAATAGAATTGCTTTTGGGATCTCAGTGGCCGCGCCGTCTGAACTCCATGTTTTCGTCGAACGTTCGAACATTGGAATCGTGGTTTCGAATCTCACTTCGAGTAGGTGTGTATGTCAGCGTTGTAGGCAGAAATCTTGAGAAGGGCAGATTTATCGCCAATGGAGTGTTACCAAATGTGTAAAATTTTCACAGTTTCAGAAGTAAATTCTGAAATCTAGCAGGCCATAAATCCACACCCTGAAGAACTAAAGAAGGAAGAGGGAGGAGGAGGAGGGGAGAAAGAGAAGGAGAGGACGGCGAGAACGAGACGAAAGATAATGATAAATATGTTAACAATATACATGTTTCACGTCCTATATCCAGGGTACCTGAATTCTGAATAATAGATTGCATCCCTTAATTTCTCCACCCACATATCCCCACTACTATTCGAGGAGTGAATATTAATCCAGTGAGTCTGAATTTCCCATCGGCATACAAGCCCGGAAGTTATTAGCCTTCTGATGAATGCGTAATATTCTACGCCGTTGTCTCCCAACGAACCTTCCGAGGAACTTAACGAGGTTTTCCACATTCCCTGCAGGCAAGTACTTGACATAGGCCAAGACTACTTCTTTCACAACTTACTGGTTAGTTGTCATCCAAATTATGCTATCTACACAGCATCGTTAAAAGAATCAAGACTGTTCTTGTTTATCCTCAAAACTTTAAAGTAATTTTACGCGCCTAACTGATCGTCAGTTTTCGTCTATACGCCTAAACTTCTCGAATGGCTTCAAAGCAACAGTACTTGCCGGGTAGGACGATTTAATTGAAATGATGTAAAAATGAAAGTGCATGTGAATGTATGTAAGTGAAGTTAACGATTTGGAAAGAGGTTCAACTGGCCGTAAGTGAAGGTGTTCTTTGTGTTCACCTAAGTGACCAGAGGAAACCATTAACTCTCTGTCAGACTATCCGCCATCGTGGCTACACCTACACCAGATTTCCCGTTACCTAGTACATGGCCTACGTACGGGCGAACACGAGGAATATGAGGATGCACTCCACCGACATGTATAGGTGAGAACTGATGGAGTATTAAGGACACAGTTCCCCATTTTCCCCTCAGAACATTGAAGGCCCTGGCGAAGTGCGTAACACTCTTGCTTCGTGTTTGGGAGATTCGTGGTTCAAATCTTGACCCGGGGGTAACTTATACTGACCGAATTCTTTTGTGGTTTTACTCAGTTCCGCGAAACAAATTAATTAATCTAAATTATTCCACGACCGCCTTCTCGCACATGATTTCCAATTAATCGTCAACAGCATAGTTTATGCTCCTCTATAAGTCTGTTTCAATTCTAAAGCTTAAAATTAACTGTGACAAAAAAAAATGTAAAATTATCTCTGCAACAAGCTGTGGAGGCCCATAGTGTCGTTATACATCGAGGTCCCCACGTTTTTTAGAAAATCGGTTCACAGATGGCGGTAAGGCCGTCAGCCTTAGGCGCCGGCCGCCCTTTACCCCCAGGGACTTCTTGGTACTCATTTCTGTTAGAGGTTGAGTCGACCCCAGGGCCATAGTGCGGCTGGAAAGATTAGGTCACTTGAAAACTGCATAACGCAAGAATAAATAAATTTCCTCTCATATTTTTCATATTGTTAATTTGTAAGCACTATACGTATTGCAGTTCTCTTTGTAAGAATTTCAGTGTGAAATGCGGCGTGTTCCTTCAGCTGTTTCGGTTGCACATTCCAAGGTCTCCTGACGTGTTAATTCTGTGTCCCCATGTCCTCAGGAACGGCTCCAGGACTCCCACGTCAAACATCTCTTCAGACTCCAGTGATCAGCAACATAAGCGCCCCTAGCGACCGTCCCCCGGAATATTTATATCCAGAACTGCCACCCATTTCTTCCCCACCGCCGCCATATGAAGTGGCTATGAGAAAGGTAAGTTTAGTTTTGTGGGGTGGGGGGGTGAGACTGAATCCACTTGGTACGTCGGCCACAAATTGTCCTATTGTACCAGGCCGGATGATAGATATCCACTTGGTACGTCGGCCACAAATTGTCCTATTGTACCAGGCCGAATGATAGATGATGATGAGTGTGGGTGGAATGAGAATTGGCAAGGGAAACTGACGTACTCAGAGAAAATCTTCACTTCTTCATCTTTACATTTAATCATATTTCCGAGTGTCTGCCATTTTTCTTTGTTCTTGCAACCTATTACCTTCCTATAAGCCATTTCTTCTTCGCTATTAATAAATCATTTGTGCAAAATGTCGTCACTTCAAATGTCTGTTCCTTCACACATAAATATGTGGTTGTAATCTTCCTCGAAAATAAGAATAAACTTTGGAAGGATCTGACATTACTGGAAGGACTGCCATTACAGTGCTAGCTTCCGAGAGTCATGTAGTTTACACTGCAATTCATCTCTTTGTAGTATAATTATTCGTCTATGACTGACAGATATCTGTATTGTACGCATATTTTATATTATCTGAATAATTTCCACAAAATTTGGTATCATGATGTACATTAACCCCATATAGCGTAACGGTAGCTCTGCGTATCACCTCCTTTAACATTGCTTGAATCTCTAGTTGCGCACACAATTTGTTCATGTGTTCCTTGGAGTTTTCTGAAAAAGTTTAAAAACCGTCATAACACAACAATCAATAATACGTGTAAGCAGCTGTAGGAGATACTTTTGCTACATGTTTCAGCTTTCAAAAGGCCATCATAAGACAAATACATTAAACTTTTCGTTTTTGAATTGCATGTCAAATATAGGATACAGTGCTAAACTTCCAAGTGTATACAATGGTATAAAATGATATGAGTGAATATAAAATATAAATTACAATAAAAGTTGATGTCTTAAATAACCATTTACATAGTCAGAAGTACAGTTAAAAGTTGTATATGTGATGGTATTTGGAAGTTGGCACTTATAATCGAAATATATGTAATGCTTATACGGACATATATACACAATGGCGAATATGTTCGGAGGCCCGTTGTTATGTTGTATGTTATTGTTTCATATTTGATACTATCTGACGGGCGACTCCGTTGTGTAAATGTCAGATTTGATGGAGAGATATATTTTTGTTTGTTTCTACAAGCGGCATATGAGGAAGACACAAAATATAAATCACGTTGCGAAGGCCCGATTTCAATGTCATTGGTAGTATACATGAGATCCATGACGGGCAAAATGGCACTGGGGCTGGTTTAACTGCGAACTCTTCTGTTTTCCACGACTCCATAGTCGTGTTTCCTAGGGGAATTACACAATTGATGCATTTGATGTCATAACACCAAGCAACACAGCAGCACAACTTTAATTCATTCTAAACATTGTGCTCTTGTCTCCAGATGGGACATCCACCGAGCTATGAAGAGTACCTCACCCAGCGATTGCAGCAGCAGCAGTTGGGGACCAATTCTTCGATACCACCGCCCCTGCCGCCACGCAACCCAACAATGTCATCGAGAAGCTGTTCGCCGCCGCCACCCTGGTCACTCCCGGCGTCCAGTGCGGCAACATCCCAGAGCCTCCAGCAGCAGAACTTCTGTAATTGTTCCAAGTGCAAGGTAGTGAATGCTCAACGAACTTAACCAGATGATAGAATGAGAGATCGCTTCGGATTGGGCCATGACAGGAAAAAATTTAGAGGCACAGAATAATGTTTGAATTGAGGGACTCTTGAAAGGCACCCCTTCGAGAATAAATTGTTACACATTTAGAACAATAAAAAATAATTTTATAGAGATGATGAAGAATGTATAATTTCTAGAATTATCACACGATTAAAGATCAAGTCCAGGAGAATGAGTTGGGCAGGGCATGTAGCATTATTGAGAGAGAAGAGTAATGCACATTAGATAATTGTGGGAAAACCGGGTAGGAAGGGACCACTATGACCACCAAGACTTAGGTAGATGGATAAAATTAAAATTTATATTAGAGAGACAGGATGGAGTGATGTGGACTGGATTTATCTGGCTCAGGATAGGGACTATTGGAGAGTTCTTATGACATAGTAATGAACCTTCTGGGTTCCTTGAAATGCTGGGAAATCCTTGAGTAGCTGCACAACTAGCGGCTTCTTAAGGAGGGCTCAGCTCCATGAAGTTAGTTAGTTGGTTGGTTGGTTGGTTGGTTGGTTGGTTGGTTAGTTAATTAGTTGCACGATCATATTTCATCTATTATAAAAGACACTGGGAGCACCCAGTAGCGTAGTTGGTTGATGCACTATGCTACAAGCCGGAAGGTCGCGGGTTCAAGTCCCGATGAGGTCATCGGATTTTTTTTTCAGTTGGTCTAATCCTTCCAGCCACACTGTGGCCCTAGGGTCGACTTAGCCTCTAACAAAAATGAGTACCAGGAATATTCTTGGGGGTGAAGAGCGGCCGGCGCGTAGGGCTGACAACCTTGCCGCCATCTATCAGCCGATTGTCTAGAAAATGTGGGATCCTCAACATCTCACAACCCTATGGGCCTGCATGGACTGTTACAGGGATAGCTTTACTTTTTTTTTACTTTATAAAAGACACGTATTCACAAGAGTTCTCCATTGAGCTCTGTAGCTAAAATTTTGCGGTTCAAGGAAAAATTATGGTTTTTAAGGAGTGATTCCAGATGGCTCAAAAGAGAGAATTTGAATGGACGGCGAAATGTGTCACTTGCAGAATGGGAGTGTCCCAGGAGGACGTGGAGGCGGACTGCGAGTGAACCTCCCAGCACAGCAAGACGATGTCACGACAGCGCGAAGCCTAGCAGAAGCTCAGCGCCAACTTAGGGTAATGCTGCCCCCCGAAATATCTCAACAGGCTACTTCCTCACATGATCACTGCCCATGTTCCAAATGTCAGGTAAAATCATTATTTTCTTTCCCCCACATTTATATACGTATTTGACCCCCCAATACAGCAACACTTTACTTTCTCTGTTTATTGTGTCACACTTCGTCAGGTGTAGGAGCCACTCCCATGGAAGAGATCCTAAACAAAAACGTAATAAGCTAAGTCGTCAAAGCAGAGTCCTTCTTGAGAAGCTGACAGTCGCACATCTCTTAAAGACACTAATCCCGTTTAAGGAATCCGAAAACTTATTACAGTTAGACCACTCTAGGTCGCGGTACAAGGGCCGAGAAGGCCTACCACTCTTACATTCAATATTGTATTTAACATCCTGTTGCATTTGGTATTAGAATTTGTTTCTGGTTTCGTTTACAGCCCACAATGAAACAATGTTAAGATTTCAAATTAAATACTGCTACAATTTTTCGCTGCATTACATGTTTCGGCCTACTCGGCCATCATCAGGTGCGTCGAAATTCTGAAGAAATGCCGCGCCTTCCGCCTCACTCAGATCGGTGCTTTCGTATTTATGTTTCTAAATGAAGTAACTGTAGTTCCTTCTTCTATGCTACATATGTTGTCTATCAAGTGTACAGTGCGAATATTATGGTATGTTGTTACCATGATCACAAGACCTCGCCCCATCCTGAGCTAGTGTTACCCAATCAGCAATCTCCGACCCTATTCCTTCGAGATCCATTTTGACATTATCTTCCCACTAATGCCACATTCTCCTAGCTGGTATTTTCCCTCACATTCTCTGACTAGAACTTCTTACTCGTTTCTCATATCTTACATATGTGCTACATGTACTTCTCATATCATCTTCCCTGATGTTATAACGCTAATAATATTTTGTGAAGTACTATTAGAATGGACCGCCTCTGTGGTCTAGTGGTCAGAGTTCCTGGCTACAGATCGTGAGGTCCCGGGATCAATTCCCGGTGCTACCAGATTTTCTGAGAGGTAGTGGATCTGGAACGCGGTCCTTTCAGTCTCGTGAGGATAATTGAGGATCTATTTGAAGGAAAGGGCGGCTCCGGTCTAGAAAACCGAAATTAAAAGGCCGTGGGGATTCGATGCGCTGACCACGCGACACCCTCTATCCGCAAAAGTTGACACTAACTTCGCTGAAAGCGGCGGTTACTCGGTCCGTATAGTTCACTTGCGGACTCAAGCCACGGAGTTTGTTTGATTTTTATTTACTATTAGACTGTTAAGACATGATCAAAACCTTGAAAGATGAATGGTGAAGAGTCTTTCTTCAGTATCTTGTCATGAAATTCCTTCACGGAAATCAGAGGCAAAGACAAAGACAATTTTGTTTACAGTGGTGTTGAATATAGGCCCCTTTGTCAACATTTGCCCCTAATATTAAAAACATACCATTTCTGTCAATAGCAATATGTCATCGCTGGTGTAACTTCGATTTAAAATTCAACATACGGTTTCTTGCATTCTTGTAAACCTTATATTACTGAGATCTGAGGTTCTCGTGGTGGCAGGTATTAAGATTATGGTCTTCCGGTGTGTGACTTCGTGTAATTTTATAAATAGTTGTCACTGTTTCGGAAGAAAACTCTGCTTCAACCTTGAGTGCAGACCACACTAAAGTAGGACATTAGGTTCCACCCAAATGTTGGCATATACACTTATTTACAGAACTGTACGGCGTTACATCCAAGAAACCCTAACTTATATTCTCATTGTTAGAATATTAAATACAGTTTAATTATAACATTAAGTTTTAAAGGTCAGTACGAAGTTGAGACCCCAATAATGCATGCCTACACAGAGTAGCAGTTGCACAGGTGAGCCTCACTAAGATATTGCTCGATGCGCTGACTGTCTGTCTGTCTATCTGTCTGTCTGTCTGTCTGTCTGTGTGCACTTTCATATAGTATGATCACCGAGGAGCCCTAAGACATCGTTTCTCATATAAGAAATTTCTCGTGGTTTTATTTGAACGTTAGAAATGTACCTGTGACCACATAACTTAAAACGTGTAAGACATAAATCAGAGAACGTAAAAAAGATTTTTATTACTTTGGATTTGATGTTCTGATTGCTATAAAGAATAATGTCTTTTGGAATCTAATGCCGCATATTGCGATAGAATCCCACGGATGTTTCTGAGGAACATGCTGTCTCCATTTTCAAGGTGGAAGAGAAAGCCAGCGCCTATTCCATGCCGTTTCTTCACTGACTTACTCTTCGACCTTAAGAATGAGCCAATACGTTTCTCCGAAACGTCAGTATACTTCTACAGGGCTACATTGTGTATCATCCAAGAGCGATTACTCTTAAAGATTTTATATCAATTTGTAATTTAAATAAAAATGTAAGGAACATGATTTCTTTAATTTAACGTCATTTACTAAACGGGAACCTGCTTACTGGACGTTAACTCACCTTGAAGTTAAAGTCCGCTTGAAATTTTTTCATCCCTCAGTTTGTTGCGGTACTTGCTCAAGAAATTGAGGAGAAAGGTTGCAGCTGTGTAACACGGAGCCACATGAACTTACATAATAAACTATAAGAGACTGCATCTCAAGACTGGAGAGGGGGTTTCAATAAAACGTTTACTTAGTGACAACGTAAAGAAATTGTGGGATGCTGCAAGTGACCACTCGAGAATCGCTTCCCTAATGTGTTTATGGTTCGAGAGGTCGCATAATATACATGTTCAAGCATGCGTGTTATGATAAACATTNAAATTTTCTTGTAGTAGCACTATAAAATCTTTAGTTATGATTTTAAAATCCTTTAAAATTTTCTCTAAATTTTAAATTTAGAATTTAAAATTGTTAGGGTTACTCGCCCTATGTCTAAAATGCTGGAGCGGCTAGTTCTTGTTCCACACTGTACAGGTGTTATTCTGTGTAGTCTTCCTGTGTGCGTGCCGCTGCTTGTCTTTACTACGTGTAGTGTAGAAAAGAACAAGATCAAAACATATAATATATATTGTTTGCACTTGGGACGGAGTGTGTATCATTTACCGTATAGAGTGCAACAGGATGCTGAGATATAATATTGTAAACATTTAAGTAATGTAATATTTAATATACTCAGTAACGGAAGTCCAGCGGAAAAACAACAATAATTTCATCATCAATGGATGAAGGTGATACTTATATATTAGAAAACTTAAATATTTTGCAATCTGTTTGTTATTTTATTCTGCTGCCATATACCACGATTGCAAAAATTACATTCCATAAGTTACCATTTAATTTTACGAAAACGCAATAGATATCTAGAATTCAGTGTCATCAAATAAGTAACATCAGAATATATATCTGACTACGAAATGTGTCACAGAAGAATTCTGAAAAAATTTAAGTTTACACGTAATTAAATTAAAAGTAATCACCTTAAATTATTTTGGGACACGCGGTAACGTAGTTGGTTGGGGCACTATGCTACAAGCTGAAAGGTCGCGGGATCGAATCCCGATGAGGTCATCGGATTTTTTTCAGTTGACCTAATTCTTCCAGCCACACTATGGTCCTCGGGCTGACTCAACCTCTAACAGAAATGAGTACCATGAATTTTCCTGGGGGGTAAAAGGCGACCGGCTCGTAAGGCTGAAAACCTTACGACCATCTCTGAGCTGACTTTCTAGAAAATGTGGAAGCGTCGACCGTTCACACCCCTATGGGCCTTCACTGCCTGTTTCAATGACAAATTTATCTTAAATTACTTTATATGTCTCATAATTTTAGACCTAAGTTAAGGATTACTAGATCCGGCACTTGTGACCCATAGTCACAAAGCTTCATAGCCCCACATAATATTCTCATTTCATTGGTTTCAGTCACGGTATGGTACTTATGACGACTCGAATGGCAACAACGACCTGATGTTCTCGCTAGACAGCACGCCCGCACTGCAAGGTGTGCTGAGTGACGGCTTGCTATGTAGTGTCATGTAGACGTTGTTGTGTTCGTGTGAGCGAGTGGATCTGCTCCTCGAGGTACTCTTAGAGGGATCTATTTCGAAATCGTTCATTTAATGATGCGGTATCTGGTTGCCTGCCCTGCAAACGAGTGATTAATGTTGAAAATTTTGTGATTCTGTCATCTTGAGATTATCCTTCTAGTTCAGTCCGATAATTGTAATACCAGGAAAAGAAAAAAAGTGATAAAATGGACAGAAATATTTGTCGAATGTTCAAGTAAATAGACTTCACAGAGTTGTTTGTCAGACCAAGTTCTGAAATTTCTCATTAAAGAAACATTATCCGTTTAAGTGTTATATGTTAAAATAATTGGTCCTCAGATTAATATTATAGGATAATATTGTTTATCTACACGAATCTGAAGTTTCAGACTCCAAGACTGCTGCAGTAATACTTATTAAAATTACAACAAGAGGAGAATGTACCAAAAATATCAACAGAGAAATATATTGAAGTTGTTTTATATAGCAAACGCTGACTTAGTCGGGTCTACCGATAGCGCACAATTTCGTTTCGCTGCTGTGCTGTCAACATAACTCACTCTACTGCCGGAATATGTTTGTAAAATATATGTTTCAAGACAGGTGTATTATTGGCAAAGTGGAGAGTAAATCTTTTATAAGGAACTTTACTTTTACTGCCCTTAAGATCAAACTAGTCAGGCCTACGTATGTAGTTATAAATTGTTTCTTAATGTTCTTTATCGAATTCCGGAGAAAAAGTTTGAAATAGGCCATGATTGCTCCACTTTTACCTCGTTATTCGTAACTAACGCCATAACATATAGTCTTCCTCGTGCAGTTCATACACAAAATCCTTTCAGTTATATTTTGTTTATTATTACATAACCGTAAACACTGAATGAAGCCATTAGCTCCTTCTTGAGCTACTACAATCCACTTCCGTTTCTACGTCAGTTCTTCCACTTACGTCTCCGAAACTGTGGCAACCCGTTCGGTTTTCAACCAAAGGTTTATGTATTGTACGAGTATATACCTTTCAGTTCAGTTATTGAGTATAGAGGGGGTGGGTTTCCCCATGCACCGCGACTAATAGTCTATTGTACGTCCCCCTTTAATTTCTACTGTCGCCATACCCTACCGATACTGGTGCCCGCTACCTCCCCTTTCTGCCAGCGAGGTCTGCCCTTTACTGGCAGTGGTACCCTATAACTCTCCCCTTTCTGCCAGCGAGGTCGGCCCTCTACTGGCATTGGTACCCGATAACTTCCCCATCTACCGGAGGCATTGGAAACTACTTGGGCAGGAAGCATTTTGCCTAATTTTGCTCAGAGGTCTCCTAGAGACATGAGGATCTTTTACGTGTAGTAAATCTACGACACGGGACACACGGCTTAAAGTCCCACCCGGAGGACTTGTTCCCTGAATTTTTCCGCCCTTAAAAATTCCACGACCTCCGCCGGGTTTGAACCCGCGTACCTTGAGTCATAGTACATGTATATACCTTGATTCAGTTGTGTGTTACATGTCCTACCCGTCTGATCATTCCTGCCGTAATTTTACTAAGTGAACTGTGAATTGTCGGGATAATCAGATCTCAAGATGGAATAATTTTGTCCCTTATTATGTTAACTAACTTCCTATATCCAGATATTCACCTCAGTACGTTAATTTTAGATACCGCTATCAATTTCTTCCTCCATTGCATCTTTGTCTAATTGTTCCACTAAATTCTAGGAAAATTATGCAGCATTTAGAGAGATGCTAAACCAAATAATTAACAGAACTGGACTTTCCTTTCCTTTTCTTGATGAGTTCTCTCAGACCGGCGAAGTAAATGGTGTGTAAGTTTACAAAAAAAAAACATTAAATATGAAATGTTTTAATAAATTAAGTGCACATGAGCTTCATATTCGAATCTGCTCACCGTATAACTCACGAATATTGAGTTCGTGTGAAGTTTCATCAGTAACAGCTGAACACACCAATGCTACAGAAAGCTAACAAGCAGCTCACTAAATTTCCAAGAATTATTCTCTGTCCGTAACATCTCTAGGACAATAGGAAATTATACGACTTGCATTTCACTATCGTAAATATAAATCAATTTGTAATGATATTTACAGTGCCATACGTACAGAAGATGACATTTTTAACCCATAAGTTTACCCTTTCAAATCAGAACTCAACAACAGTCTTGAAATATTTCATAATCTCAAAATGAAAATTTGCTGATAACTCACATAAGGAGACATTCAGCAATGAAGACAAAGATTATATTGCATTGGCAGCTGAATATTTTTTAAAAATTTAAATTCGCTTAGTGGGGGGTGGAGTCCAGCTGGGTCCACTCGGCACAGCGACCACTGATTGGCCTATTGTACCTGCCCCGGGTGATTATGATGATGGAGAATTTGGTTGAATGAATATTGGCAGGGGAAATCGAAGTACTCGGAGAAAACCCGCCCTAGCGCCACTTTGTCCACCACAAATCATACTTGACCAGACCCAGGATCAAACCCGGGCCGCCGCGGTGGAAAGCCAGCGACTAGACGCCTGAGCCATGGCGCGGCCTTCAGCTGAATATTTACTCTCAGTCTGTAAAAGAATGTGGCTTTATAGGCACAGGCTGCAAATGGGTACTTATTTTGGCTGCAGACTCGCATCACCGGTGCAGGTACGCTTTTTGGACCACGCGTCTGTATGGTTGCAAAACTGCAAATGTCTTCCATCTGTGCGTAAAGGAAAGAAACGGCGCATAGTTAACAGACGATACAGAAAGGCTTAATCTCTAGAGAACGAAACAGACATAGCCTTAAGGAGTTATTTTACGTAACCCTAGTTTAATCTTAGTAGTAATTAAATTATATTTTAATGTAACCGACACGAAATGCAATTCCAGTGTTTTTTGTTGAACCTTAGCACGTTCCCACAGGACGGTTGAAATCATTTCCGCTTCATGTGGCTTACGGGTAAGCGTTTGGTTTCCCTTGACTAAAAAAAAAAATATAAATATTGTGGCATAACTATATTTTCACGATTTTAGTGATTATAGACGGGGTTTGGATCAGTAATTGGATTTAATGAACTCCTACAAATAGTAATTACAAGTAAGACTTATGCTCTCACTGTTCTACACACTTCTCAGATCAATACAGGTCACGCTAGATCTTCTCAGTCTGTAACAATCTTCATTAACCATTGCTTGGTAACGGTTTCCAACGGCGGACGTTCCCCTTTCTATGGGTTCCCGAACTTTCCCCGGCCTCAGCTACCATTTTCTTACAGCAACAGCTCACTCTTTATTTCGTGGTCGTTACCTAGTAAAGGGTCTACATGCCACAGTTTTTAACGTTATATAAGGACATATTACATATTATACACAATGGTATGATTTAGTGGAGTAGTTATTTCGTGTGAACTTCTCAGAAACATTACATGTACCCGTATATTGGATTGCACTATGCAGGGTGTTTGATACTGAGCCACACAGAAAGAACTAAATTGGTTTCCTCAGAGAGATCGAATAATTACTGGATAAGAAGTGTAGTGAAGTAATTAATCATCGGTGGAATCAAGTGGAAAAATCGCAGACGTGATTAATGTTGAAGAAAATATTTGAGATATGATGAAAAATAAAACATTACCGTGACGTAGACGAATAGAAAGAACAAGAGACTAGAAAATAACGAAATTCAATGGACACTTATCGGATATGTGGAAAGATGAGGCAAAAACCACAACGTGAATTATAATTAAATCACGAAATTTTGTGAGGAAAACTTGAAGGAAAAAAAAACTGGATTTATCGATGACTATGACGTACGAGACCGGGTAAGAATGTAAAATGGGAAAATGAGAAGATGAAGAAAAAGTGGATATTTTTCTTTGACACTAATAGAGGGAATGATCAATCGCAGACGAGTCTGAGTGTTGCCTCGCCGTTTAGTGTCACAGTTCAGAAACGCGCCGTAACTACACGTATTTTTGTGATCTTCTGTCGTCAGAATATCGTCTGTTTTATAAGACTTGAGTTTAATTCCTACCACAATGCATTAGATATTCATCAATCACGTTAAGGTTCCCTAGCCTCCTTCGCTAGTTTCCGTAACTTTCCCATCGGTGTCCTTAATTATCTAACTTTGTATTCTCCCAATAATTCATCTTTTTGCTCATATTTGAACTCCATTTCTCGTGCAGAACTTGAGATGACATTAAACGAAATCGTATCATAACATTCCATCATAATAAGGACTGAATTGAATATAGCATATAGCACAAACTTGTGCAACTTAATGTTGCAGGTTACTGAGGTTCAGTAAGCTTCATGCAAAGTAAGGTCAGAACCAGCCAAAAATTGTCTTCAACAAAATGTGACGTCTCTAGTGAGCCGGGATAGCGCAGTTGGTATAGCGACTGGCTACGAGCTGGACGACGGAGGGTTCGGGGTTCGGGTTCCGGTAGAGTCAAGAATGTTCTATTTTCCACGTCGTCCAAACCGGCTCTGGGGTCCACCCAACCTCATATCCAATGGGTACCGGTAGTCCTTCCCTGGGGGCAGAGTGACCGGGGTTTGAAGCTGACCGCTCGCCTCCAACTAGTGCCGAGGTCAAGAAAATGTGGATCTATACATCTACTCCCCCTGCGCCTTCATGGCTAGTGCTTAATTAGCTAAGCACAGGGACAACTTTACCTTAATTGTACTGTTTTGAAAGGCAACAAGATAAATGGCTGTAAAACGGATATGCTCACTTTCCCAACTAGACCATTCGTATTCATTTATCATCTAGGCTTGGTTCAATAGGCCCACTATTGGCCGGCGTGCCAAGTGGACTCAGTTTCACCCAACCCCACAAATTAAAAAATACCTTTATAGTGGTCAGCAATATTGTGGTTACAACTATAATAAAAGTAGGAATATCTATTTTTGGTAATAAGAAAGGTAAAGGTTAAGTCGTGCCTGTGCTTAATTATTTAGGCACAACGCCATGAAGACTGCTATTCTTGAACTCGGCAGTAGACTAAAGTGGTTGGTCACCTTCAAGTCCCCTGCCTCTTTAGCTTCTTGGGAATAGTCCACGGTACCCATTGTATGGGATGTCGGATGGGCCCCAGAGCCGGGCCATAGCTCATGCGGTTAGTCGCTGGCTTCCAACCGCGGCGGCCCGGGTTCGATCCCGGGTCTGGTTAAGTGGGATTTGTGGTGGACAAAGTGACGCTGGGGCAGGTTTTCTCCGAGTACTTCGGTTTCCACTGTCATTCTTCACTCCACCAAATTCTCTATCATATTCACCCGGGGCAAGTACAATAGGCCAGTCAGTGGCCGCCGT